TCTCCCCCCACCTCTCTCCACCTCCCCCTGCCCACCTCCCTCTGTCCATCTCCTCCCCTGTCCATCTCCTCTTCTGTCCACCTCCTTGCAAGCCTTCCTCTTCCCCCATTCCTCACCTCGGTCTCCCCCCACCCCCAGCTCTGCTCCACCTTGCCCGGTTCTCCCCTTCCCCTTCCCCTACCTGGCACCCAGGTGTACGCAGGGTTGGGCTCCAGGCCAGCGCCAGCACTGTCATCTCGGCCAGGGGCCCCTCATGCCTGTGGCTGAGTCTTGGAAGGGACAGAAGATCTAGTCTCAGATCCCCACACCCCAGCCCCTCCCCTGCCCGCCCCCTTCACTCCCCTCCCCACCCCGGCACCTTGATGTGGCTGAGTTTCCGTCTCCCACTCCCCCAGGCTTCCTGCGTGAGCCCCGGTTAGGGTGAAAACTCCCCAGCTCCCCTTCCTAGAACCCAGGGCTGCCCCGGAACCCTCCCCGTCAGGGACTCAGCCGGACGCCCGCCTCCTGCCCCCTTAGAGTCCAGGGGACCCGGCCCCGCCCCTCGGGGACCGGGAGCCCAGTTCTTCTCACGCACCAGGCTTGCCCCAGCTGGGTGTGGAAAGGCCAAGCCGGGTGACAGCCAGAGACCGAAAGTGAAAGGACATTTTTTGGGGGAGATGGTGAGCCGGGGTGGAACCTGGGCCGGGGCAGAGCGCGCCCCCTAGTGGTGGCACCTGGCGGCTCAGGGGCCTTGGCCCGGGCGCCGGGCTGCGCGGGGCCGCACCGATCTGTCTCCCGCTGGAAGCAAGGCTCTCAGGGCAAGGAGCGGGTCGTCCTGGGCCCGAGACCTTCGTCCTGACACATCAGGTCCATGGCTGCGCCATCCCTGCAGGTGTCCGGGCCCACAGTCCCACCTGGGGCTTCTGCCTGTCCCGTGCGGCCCAGATGCTGGGCTCCACCTGCGACACTAATACAGAACCCCGCCACTTTTCGCTGCAGCTGCCAGCACCCCATCTCCCGCGGCAGCAGCAGCGCACCGGCCTCCTCACCAGGCTGCGGCCTCCGCCCTTGCCCCCGGAAGCAGGCAGAGGGAGCCCAGGAAGACATGAGTCAGCTCATATCTCTCCTCTGCTCCAAACCCTCCCGGGGCTCCCACCCCCTCAGAATAAAAGTCAGGTCCTGGCCACCGTGGTCTGCTCAGACCTGCGGTATCTGGCCCTGCCCACGTCCAACTGCACCGCTGCCCCTCTGCAATCCCGCCCACGGGCCCTCCTTGCTCCTGCGTGGCGGCCGCACCTGCCCAAGCCTTGTCTCGTTCCTTGGCTTGGAATGGCCGTCTCCAGACGCCGCACGGCTCACTCACCCCACCCATGCAGGTCTGTGCTAAAACACACCAGGCAAAACCTCTGGTGCCCTTTCGCAAACAGCACCCCCTCCCAGCACTCACCTTCCCTGCCTTGTCCTCTGCAAAGCCCGTTCCCTCTGCCGGGACATCAGCTCCAGGCAGCCCCAGTGGGTATCTGGGTCACCCTGCCGAGTCCCAGCAACTAGAACAGGGCCTGGCGTACACGGGGGCACGCGGAGGAATTAACTGCGCCAATGGCCCCGGCCTCTTTCCTTCTTCCTTAGTTTGTCTTTGCTATTTGCTGGAAAGAGAGGGAGAGAGAAGGAAGGCTACTCTGCGCCCTGCCCCAGGCCGGTGGCCACACGACAGTCTCTTCTACTCCATTCTTCTCTTGCGACTTGGAGCACGCATACACTCGTGCTCAGTGTGTTTTTCAAGTCACTGGGTCCAGGACTCGAACTGTGGAGTTGATCCCGTGAGATCCAGTCAGCTTAACCACATGCCGACAGCTAGCCCCATTATTGTTATGGTTATGGTTTATTTTAGTTACTTCTGAGAGAGAAGAAAGAGACAGAGAGAAAGAGACAGAGAGACAGGCACTTCCAGCAAGGTCTTCATGCCATGACGCTGCCCATCTCAGCTGGCCAGGATCAGATACAGTGTACCCAGGTGTCGAGGAGGTCCGGGCAGACCCAGGCCCTTCCCCCTGCCGGGCCAGTTGCATTACTCTTTTTTTTTTTTTTGAGAGGTTTTAGCTACAGGGCGCGTGCGCTCACTAGAAAGAAATAGACAGAAAGCGAGAAATCACCCCCACCACCCCCCCCCACGGGGATGGCCACGCCACAATCCCTTCTCCTGCATTCTCCTCTCGGGATCTTGGGCACGCACGCACATGTACCCGGTGTGTGTCTAAGCCACCGCGTCCGAGACTCAAACCGCAGTCGACTACATGCGAGTCCAGCGACCCAGCCATTACGCTAACTGCTGGTCCCCCAGTTGCATTACTCCTGTGCCAGCATCGGGCCCCTTCTGTGTGTAATGACGTGCCTGGTCTCGTTTCAGGCTCCTGGGAAGGAGCCTCTCGCGCTGGTGCCCTCCTGAACGACAGGAACGGCTGCTACTCTCAGCAGCTGTCTTGACCATACCTGAGTTTACCCTAAGTGGCAACTCAGGAAGGGGGCAGGTCATGCCACAAAGACCAGTCACATGACCAGCAGTTGTTTTCATTTTAAATGGATTATTTATTTATTATTACTATTCACTTTGACCAAAGGCAGACAGAGAGAAAGAGAGGGAGTGAGAAAGCAAGCCACAAGTTTAGGGACTCAAACCATAGTCGGCCATGTGGGGGTCCAGCGTCTTGATCATCATGCCACCTGATGGCCCCAGTTTTTTTTTTAGAAGTTTATGCCATAGGGCCCATGAGAGAGACACAGAGTGAGAGAAAAGGCGAGAAATTACCCCCTAGGGGATGGCCACACTGCAATCCCTTCTTCTCTGTTCTCTAGAGATTTTTGGAATGTACACACACACGCCTGGGGTGATTTTCGAGCTACCAGGTTCAGGACTCACACAGTGGTCAGCCATGTGGGAATCCAGCACCTTAACCACCGTGCCACCTGCTGGCACCAAGGGTTGGAGTTTTGAGCTTGATGAATTATACCTAAGCAACAAAACCCCAATACAAATTTTGGACATGGACACGAGGGCCAGCAGGTGGCTTAGTGGTTGTGGGGCTGGACTCCCACATGGGTGTGATTTCAGTCCCGGACTCTGCGGCTTAAAACTTACTCCGGGTGTGTGTTCGTGTGTGCCCAAAATCTGAGAGGAGAATGGAGAGGGGACTGTGGTGTGGCCATCCTCCCTGGGGGTGATTTCTCACTTTCCCTCTCCCTGTTTCTGTCTCTCTCCTCTGGCGAGCACTCATACTCTACGACCACAAAAAAAAACCCCAAAAAACTAAACAAATATAAAAACAAATGCTAGCTCACTACAGGAACGCTTGCACTGCAGCGGAGCTAGGGGGCTTTACGGTGAAGGCACCACTGGCAGCTGTCACGGCCCTCCCCACCGCCCCCGCTGCAGCCCAGCACCTCCGGACAAAGCCCCCAACCTGGATCAGGGCCCTGGGCGGCCCGGGGTGCTGCCTCTGTGGCCTCATTATCTTCATTCGTTCTGGCAACACCGAACGGGTGTCATTCTGTCTGTTTCCTGTGACTGATGTAACAAAAGATTAGAACCTTGGTGGCTTAAAACAACAGAAATTTAATCTCTCACAGATCTGGGGGCCAGAAACCCGAACTCGGGTGTCAGCAGGGCCACCCTCCCTCCTGGGCTCCAGGGCGGGTCGGTCCTCTGCCTCGTCCAGCCTCTGGTGGCTCCAGGCGTGGGCTCGCGGCTGCAGCGTGCAGTCCTGGCTCCGAGTTCTCGAGTTCTCGTGGCGGCTCTCCTCGCCTGTCTTCCCCTTTGAGCGCTCAGGACGCTTGTCCTGGGGGTCGGCTGGATGGTGTCTCGGCAAAGCGAGCAGCGAGGCTGACCACAGGGAAGGCTCACGTCCAACGGCCGCCCACAACCCAGGGCTGGCTGGAGGGCCGCAGGGCTGGGGTCACACCCAGGGGATGACGGTTAACAGACACCAACATGCACGTACACAAGGCAGATAGGGCGTGGGATGGCGCGCCACAGCAGGGCGATAAAGGACCTTGCTGATCTCACAAACATCTGGGCAGAAACTAGACCCAGCTGTGCCCTGGCGGCTGGGAGCCCCACACACTGACGGCGCAGGCGGAGTCCCAGGCTCACGGCTTGGGAAACACACCGGGCGCGTGTGCGTGCCCAGAGTCCCAACAGGAGGGAGACGAAGGGACTGCAATGTGACCGTCCCTGTGTGTAGGGGGTGCTTTCTCACTCCCCCTGCCTCTCCTGAAGTGTGCGCCCTCTGGCAGAAACCAAAAAATGAGCAGAAGACTGAAGGTGTGCAGCATGGCGTGACGCTTACTGAGGACCAAGGGCAATGTCCTGGCTTTTATTTATTTTTTTTTAGAGAGGTTTTCGCTATAGGGCGCGTGCGCTCGCCAGACAGAGAGAGACAGAGAGACAGAAAGCGAGAAATCACCCCCCAGGGGGGATGGCCACGCCGCAATCCCTTCTCCTCCATTCTCCTCTTGGGATCTTGGGCACACAGGAACACGCACCCGACTTGAATTTTAAGCCACCGGGTCCGGGACGCAAACCGCGGTCAACTACGTGGGAGCCCAGCGACATAGCCATTACGCTAACTGCTGGTCCCAGTCCTTGCTTTGATGATGACAGTACATGCGTTCTTTGGAAAACCGTATTAGGGACCAGCAGATGGCACAATGGTTATGTTGCTGGATTCCCATGTGGTAGACTGCAGTTTGAGTCCCAGACCAGGAGGCTTGAAACTCGGGCCATGCGTGTGTGCGTGCCCAAAATCCCCAAACAATGGAGAAGGGATTGCAGTGTGGCTGTCACCTCCCCATCCTGGAGGGTGATTTCTTGCTGTCTCTCCAGCAAGTGCACATGCCCTATGGCAAAAATCTCTAAAAAAAAATAAAATTATGCTAGGCATGTGTGCCCCAAATCCGAGGAGAACAGAGAAGAGATTGTGGCTGGCCATCCCTGCAGGGGGGGGGGGATTTCTCACTTTCCCTCTCTCTCTGTCTGTCTCTCTGGTGAGCACACGTGCCACATAGTAGCAAAACTAAAAAAAAAAAAAAGAGAAGAGAGGGATCTTGGGAATCTTGTCGGCCGTTCAATTATTTGTACCTCAAAACCCAATATAGTGGGAGGTTACAGAAGGGGGCGAGTTACTTACAGGGCTAGTTCATGCATAAAGCTCATCTGTGTACTTTATTTATTTATTTTTGGAGAGGTTTTAGCTATAGGGCGCGTGCGCTGACCAGGAAGACAGAGACAGAAAGTGAGAAATCACCCTCCTGGGGACCATGGCCATACCACAATCCCTTCTCCGTTCTCCCCTCAGGATCTTGGGCACACAGGCACATGCACCTGGCGTGAGTTTAACCCACCAGGTTCAAGACCTGCACCGTGGTCGATTACATGGTAGTCCAGCGACATAGCCATTACGCCATCTGCTGGTCCCTCATGTTTAAGAGCGTCTCAGCATGCTGCAGCGGTCCTGCCTGCCTCAGTTCCGGCTCTGTCCCCACTGAGCCTCCAGCACCACTCCTCAAGGTCCTGCTGTGTTGCAAAGGCCAGCCTTGAGCTCGTAACCCTCCCGCTTCAGCCCCCCAGAGGCTAGGATTGCAGGCCCAGTCACTCCTCTTGGGTGTGGTCCCAGCCTGCAGGGCGCCCAAGCCCTGGAGCCAGGCCAGGACTGCTGCTTCTCAGAGTGAAGGTGTCCTTAGGCCCCGAGCTGCAGCGCCTTGCCAACTCAGACACACAGCTGGGGTCATCAGCATTTATTGGAAGGCACAAGAACCAGAGGGAATGTTCCAGAGTCTGGGGTCTGCCGGGTGGTCTGGCCTGCGTCCGCAGTGGAGCGTGGTGCTCAGCGTCAGTCCCCCATGGGCAGCCACAGGGCCTTGGTCCGCGCTGCCCG